AGCAGAGTGAAAAGAATTAGCTTCAAGGTTTTTTGCTCTCTTTACTAGCTGGGTGGAAGAAACAACCAGGATGGCTTCTACAAGTAAAAGAAATTCTGCAGGTACAAAATTTCATTTACTAAGTTTTGTCAGTACTAAGGTTGAATCAGGTTTCAATCCGTTCTTATCAATATATGATACCTTTCTCTTTGCCCTCCTCCACCTGACAAGGATTTTGTGGTAAACGATAGGTGAATAACAGGGAAAAGTAGTATATTGAAAAATTTTGAGACCTCATCTGGACATAAACTTAAGTTAAGCCTGCCCCTCTGCTGCCTTGCTTAAAGAATCTGTCCTAAATGCAGTGTTTCCCTTTACAGCAGAATCTTTCTTGTCCTTGACACAGAGGTTGGACAGACATTTGTAAAAAGCAAAAGTCCTTAAAAATTAACAAGGAACTGGAAGATACAGTCAGTATCTCCAAGACACTGATGATGAAGTCTTACCTCCACTGAAGCCAGTAGTAAGGGGGTTTCAGAACCAAGTGCTTCTTGCATCACCACAAAATTCAGTCACATTATATTCTATATGTCCTCTACTGTCCCTACTGTAGATGGAAAATGAGGTTGACCATGCTCCCTTCAGTCACTGGATTCTTAAAAAATTTTAATTTCCCGTACACACTTTACAGCTTAAAAAATTAAATGAGATTGCCACTGCTTTCATTGGGTGTTAAAGTGTATTAATAAAACAGATTTTGATCAGAAATCCAACAGTGTTTAGAAAATGTGAATCTTAAGCTACAGCTGGCTTAAGATTATGCAGGGTTGTGAAGAAATACATTCAGGCACTTTTCCCCCCAATGTTTTATCTCATATTTTACTTTTTCCTGTTGTCGTATCATGAGTCATGGTGTAAGATGACCTGTCTTTAGCTGTGTTTGCAACCTATCCAAATTGAATGCCATCTACAAATTTCATTAGGGGGCTGTTTACTGTCTTTCAGGTCACTAATGAAGAAGTTAAATAAGACCATTTAAATAAGACAGAGGCTCGTGATATCTTCTGAGCCCCCTACATTGTCACCATCATTTATTAACAGTTTGTGCCACTTGTCAGCAGTAACATTGACGTGAGGGACCATGGCCTGGTACCATATTTTATAGCTTTGGTTTGTGTTTGTCTTCTCTATTCGTACTGTGTTTTTTAGCCATTTAAACATGAAAACCCGGTGCTCAGCAACAATTTCCAGTTGAAGCAGGTCCTTGTAAGAGATTAATTGGCAACAAATTGAGTAATGGTGCTGTTCATTTCTCTTTGATTAGTGAGAAATCCAAATACATTTTGCCCTGAAGGTGAAGTCTGCAAGCACGGATTCCTCATCAAATCACCACCTCTTCAACTTTTTGGTTCACAGGTATACTAGCACAGTTTAGTCCTATTCTAGCAATCCTTCAACAAACATCTGTTATTTCTACTATCCTGAATTTTAATGATACACAAATTACTTTCTCTTCGTCAGAATTCCTGGAAACGGCGCTTTTTCATCCTGTCCAAATCCAGCAAGGGCAATTACATCCTGAAGTATCTCAAAGGCCAGAACACAAAAGGCTCCATAGCCGTTGATCAGTATGTAACTCAAATGACCTACTTCCTCTTACCCTGCTGAAAAATTGCTCTGCTTGGCTCATTTGGGTTGGTCATTTCACTCCTCTCAGCACAGTGCCCACTGCAGCAAGGCTGGGTGTCATTGGCTTTGTACTAGCAGCCTTTACCATGTCACATGTGGTATGAGCTACATAGAAGGGAAATGTAAAGATTTTACCAGTCAGACCCAGAGTTCCTGGAATTGTTAGGCGTTGTTACTATTTTTACTGATTTAACTTCCTAGAAGTTAATGGAAGTAGTGCTTCCATTTAAGCATCCATTAACATTAATGTTATTGATAACATTATTAATTAATTATCTGTTCCTCTTCCCCTCCATTAAAACACTGTTAATATATAATTAGTTTCAAATCAAATGTATTGTTATGTAGCGGTTCAAAAACATCTGCCAGGAATTTTTCTTACTATCATTTCTTTTCAAGATTCTGTGTTAGACCAACAGCCCCTTTTTCCAGAAATCAGGATCCAAAATCTGGACATGAGTCTTCGCAAAAGTTGATTTTCTCTTTTTGCTTGAAAGGTTTCTTCATTGCAAGACCATTTGTTTTGAATGTGTGCACTTATTTTCTTGAAATTTTTTTCTGTGGAAAAATGTTTACCTTTTCCCATGCAGATCTCATCATATTGTGCTGTGCTTAGAGTAAAATATGCACATACACACACATATGTGTGCTTGTATGTACGTATGGTTATCCTATATAAAGGATGTTTCATATGGTTATCCTAACAGAATCATAAATATCGAAGTTGGCATAAGCAATTCTGAAGTTATGGAAACGGTGAGGAAGATGTTTAAATGCCTTCCCGAACAGGTGATGTCCATCCGTACTGGAAACAGATGTTACTACCTCATTGGGAGCAGCAGGTAGGCATAGAAAGATGTGCAAATGCAATATGACATTACAGTTAAGCTAGCGTAACACTAAGCCTCTGCCTCAAGGCAAGGTCCTACTCCTTCAAAGCTGCTCCCGTCTCTTCCTGTGTCTCAGCTGCTGACTGCACAACTCCAAGATTAAACTAGTCAGCGATTGATCCAATGTAAGACTGCTCTTTTCTGTGTCTTTTTTCCCATCCATAGCTGGGTTAATGTTTTGCTGCTTGAGACAGCTGAGCTAACCTCACACTGTTACAGCATCCAATGTGTGGGAGTAGTAGGAGCATCTGGCTGGGAGTGGGGATGGCAGTGGCAGCACATCAGTGTGGCAAAACCATGTGAAAATGTGATGGTTAAGGGTCAAGGAACAGCAGGGAGCTTTGTGTTCTCACCCAGCAGTTCCCAGGAGTTAGGAAAGCTTTTGCTCCTTGTGGATTCTCCTGGTTTTGGCTGGGACAGAGTTAACTTTCTTTATAGCAGCTAGTGAGAGGCTATGTTTTGGGTTTGTGCTGAGAAGGCAACTGATAACATACTGATGTTTATATTGTTGCCAGGACAGTCAAGGACTTTTCAGCTTTGTGCTTTGCAAGTGTGTGCAGGTGCAGGAGAAGCTAGGAGGGATCATTATTATTTTAAATTTGATTGTAGTTCAGTTAATAAATTGTTCTTATCTCAACCCACAAGCCTCTTTTCCCTTTACCCCATTAGTTTTCTCCTCCACCCTGGGAAGGGGAAGGGTGACCAAGCGGCTGTGTGGTCTTTGACTGCCAGCTGGGTTGAACCACAACATGGATAAATCGCAGGAAATAATCTTGCCCTTGAAAATAGGTTGCTAATCAAGGGAAGCAGATGGAAGGGGAAAATTCCCCCAACAGAAAAGAGATCCCAAAAGGAATGACTGGGGCCTTTACTGCAGCAGGGTGGTGTGCTCCCTGCTCTCCCAGGCTGCAATCCAATCCTTAGCAAGGGCAGAAACTGCTGCTGTTGAGGTGATCAGCCAAAGCTCGGTTAGGTGAGGGAGGACATTTGGTACAGTGCTCCTCTGCTGCTGCTTCCCAGCTTCTTCTGTTCAGTTTCCCAGCCACAAGCATGCCAGGAGGGGAGGAAGTTCTGCCTTTATGCAGAAGAGCAGCTGATGTGTGAATCACTGATAACTACAGAAGAAAAACACATACTTGTGTGTTACTTGAGCATGCCACCCCACACCTTTCCCTAGGGCACTGCTCTCAGAGCCTGCACTCTTGGTGGGAAGCATTCCAGAATTAATCCAAATAAATCCACGACAAACATGAAACAGGGCTTTAGAGGTCATTTCATGGCATGTTTCTCATTCTTCACTCCCTAACACATTCCCAAGCCTTGTTAGCTGTCTTGAGGGCAGGGCTTGGCAGAGCAGCATTACACACAGCAAATTAAGCAGAAAACATCGTCCCACCTCTCTTTCACCTCTTTCCTCCTCCATGTCTCTCGCACATGCACACATAGCCCCCCCACATACCTTGTAGCTCCTGGTCCTGGCCTGTACCTCTCTGAGTTCAAACTTTGGCATCTGGCTACAGCCACCCCAGCACTCTCTCTTGAAAGGAAGGTGCAGATTTTCCCCATTGATTTCAGAAAGCGTTATTTTGGGCCCCATAGGTAGAAGTGGGTAGGCAAACAGGTTTTCCTTGTGTTTTACCTGCGAGTAGGTTTTCATTTCTGTTCTTGCAACCTACAGGCAGGAAACAGAGGACTGGGTCACTGTGATATCTTCAGTCTGCAGGGAGACAACGAGAGGTGGATGCTGCCCTCAGGTGACATGTTACTGCACTGGATTTTAGAAAGAAAGAAGTCTGCAATTTCATTAGAAACCTGTGCAAAGGAATTTTCATGATTTTGGCCTTGCAAGCTGGCTTTTGCCTTGACTAATCAGAAAATAATTTTCCATATAAATCCTGTACCCTGGCTTCATGCATTAAGCAGGCATAGCACAGTCTGTTTGTGCTGGGATTGATTTTACATTGAAGTAATCTCTTTCAAGAGTATGCTACATGGAAACGAGGAGATTATTGACATTATGCTGCAATGAATTGCACCTTTGATGCATCAGAATGAAAACTTGTGTGTAATTCTTACCGTGTGCTTTTTTGGTTATATTTACATGCTGTTTTACAAACTGATCTGCATCCAGTCTGTCATTGCCCTGAAGCAGCTGGAAGCTCTGTTAGTTCAAGCTCAGGCCCAAGTTTCTGCACCCTGTCAGCCAGCCAGGCTGGTAGTTCAGACTTAGCAATAAGCTACTTACATCCCTGCAGCTTCCAGTCTGCTCCAGCTGCAAGCAGGGCAAATTTATGTCTGCCTAAAAAATGCCATGTAGACAACATCTCTGAGCCATTAGAAGTAAGATTTGGACTGGTGGGATGCATTGGTACATTGTAGCCCACGCCCATCAGGTGTCTGTCTTCTCACATTGCTGTTATCTTATTTCCAGAACGATGATCTTCCAAATCCAGAAGTCAGAAGCCGGCCCTCCTCTTTGCCAGTATTGTTAAATTCTATAGATAGGACCAGCTTCCCAGAAAGGCAAAGCCACCAGGAGGTAAACAGATCAGCCATGCTTAACAATGAGTTTGCTCCTAGGGGTGACAGTGAAAATGAATTTGTGTAGTTGCTTTTTGCCATCAAAAGTTCTTCAGAGCTTGAGCAATGGGTGTTCTGTTCTGAGCCCAGGTGTTCTGTTCTGCTCTCTGGTGGGGTTCCTGAGTAGGACCTGCATGATAACATCCGAGAGTACCCACAGAGGAATTACTTTCCTCAAAAGTCTGCATGTAAGTAAAGGCAGGTCTTGATGGCAACAAGAAACTGTATTCATTGGCTGCTTCAGCTAACTGGCAAAGACTGGTGGGCATAAAGGAAGTCCCTACAGATTCGCTTTGATGTGCCTTGGCGAAGCATTGTGACGATTGTTTTGACAGCAGCCTCCCACATTCCTCCTGTTTTGTGATTGTGCTTTTCTTTGTCTCTCTCTTCAGTCTGTAAACCTTGAGGGAGGGCAGTTCTCCAGTTCCTCTGTGCCTTCCATGCCTTCCTCCTCAATATTTAAACAGAAAGGACGGAGAGCATTGCTGCTGTCCCAGAGCAGTTGCAGTCTCTGTCCCCTAGTGACAGGCTGAAGAGCAGCCAAGGGGGGGTTGGTTTTCTCTTGTCACAAGGCTGTGTGCAGACAGCCCATCTGGAGGAAGCTGAATGCAGGTGAAGCACCTCCAGGGTGTCTTCAGGAGGAGTCAACTTTTTTCTTTTGTATACAGGAGAATGGTCCCTCAGAAGACAAGAGCAGGCCTAATTCAGATCCTGGCCCTCATCAGGCTCAGTGTGACTCACCAGGAGGAGTTTTTCCAAAGCTGGTAGGTAGGAACAGATCAAACAGCCTTTGACTTGTTCATCAGCCGAAGTGACTATAGGCTCTTACCTCACCCCCGTATCTGTAACTATAGGTTATTATTCATTTGCTTTCCCAGCACACTGATTTGGTTTTCACTATGAAAGTTTTCTAAATATGGTTAGTCTGTTGCCTTGTTCAGCACTGAAAATAGCCTTCTAAGAATTTGCTTGAAATACCCTTTGTGCACTTTGTCTCCTAGAAGTGGATCCTCAGAGTCTCTGTGCAGCAATTGCAAACTTGTGGCAACAGGTCTCACAAATTTGATCAAGAAAACTCTGAAGTTGCACTGCTTGAGGATTTGCACCTCCCATCACATTTCTCAGCTGTGCCACAGTCTTGCTAAACCGTTTCTTTCTTCAGCCTCTGCCTGCAGCAATTGAATCAATGTAACTGAACTATATATATATTTATATGGCTTGTTAAATTGAGGCACACGTCAGGACTGACCTTCTGTCAGCATAAATATGACTCTAAGTAATCTTACTTAAAGATTCCTGACTGTATCTGTCAGGAATGATTTTAAAAGATGCAGTGATGAATGTTATCATGTATTATTGGCTAAGTATTCTGACCTGTGTTTCCTGAACAAACACCCGCAGCAGTTTCAGATAGTTTCACCCATCCTCTGCCTTGGATTATTGTCTTTGCAGCAGAGTCAACAGAACAGAAGGCACAACCAAGGCTCTACCACACCAGTAAGCAGTTTGGCAGCTGAGTTTAAACCCATCTTTATTAGCAGTTTATGTATTGGACTGTGATTTGGAGTGGCTGAGATACAGGGAAAAGAATCTCTTCTGCTGTCATAGCTAACAGGGTGGTAAGTCACGTGCTGCAGTCACCATCCATGTACATAGTCTGGCAGCAAGTATGAGATGATACGGCTAAATTTAGTGGAAAGTAGTAAAAATAGTTTAATCTACATTGCAATGCCATGGGCAGTTACCACAGCTCAGCTGGTGCACGGTACTTTATGAAGCTGCAATAACTCAGTTGTGAGTCTGACCTCTGAAATGCATTGAGTTAACCCTTAGTCTGATTTTAACTACTGCTGCTCTGGATGCATACCAAGGCTTGCTTTCTGTCTCTTTCTTACACGTGCCATTTCTGTCTCATTCATTAATCCTTCTCATACTAATGATGCCTCAGAGAGCATGTATTATATGCAGCTGTTCAGACTAGGACAGACTGACCACGAAGGTTAAAAGATGAGGAATTTGGATTTTACCTTTTTAGCCTGAAGCAGAAGGAATAGCAGGAAGCTCATATTTCTCTTTCAGCATGTCTAAAAATAGACTTTGCCATACAGCTAACAAGAAACAAAAACGTTCATTCAATAAAAATGTTTCACTTGCCTCATAGGTTTGGCATCTGCTAACTTCTCCAGATCTATTCTCTGCTCAGTGATGTCTAGACAGCTGACTCCAGAGTAATCCCTTGTATTTACTTCCTGTTAGAAGTATGACTCTGCATGTCTAGTATCTCATCCGTTTTGCTTTCATCGGTGGTTCCCTCATCCAGGCCCAGATCTTGAAAACTCTTTGGTCAATAGCCGTTACTCATGCAAACAGGCCTATCCATGTCAGTTGGGTCTAGTCCTGCAGGCAGGGACCCTGGAGAGGTCTGGGGACCTGGCTCCCTTTCAGCCCACATTCTGGAGCTACCAAACCACACTTGAATCAGCAATTCAGTATCAGCTATTTTGACACACAGCTTTCAGTACCTGAAATACATCCAAATGAAGAGCCCTGACTTACATCATCCTGCTCACTACTGCATTGCAGGCACCTGGGCATCCTTGTCAGGAGTCTGCCTTCAATATCTGTTAGATACCTGATTTTTTGAAAGAGAAGTTCCTCTGTCCAATGGCAACACATAATTTTCCCTAAGGAGCCTATAACTAACAACTAACAATTACTCAGTTGTTCTCCAGGTATCATTTCCTGTTCTACAGCAAATTTTCTCCATAATCTCTTTCTGTCTAATGTAAATTCACACCATAGTTCAACAGAGGCTTAAAGAACTATTTAGCTGTACGTCTGAGAATAATTGCACGCTGAGGTTAACTGCTGTAAGGCACCTGGAAGAACAGAGTTGTTGGCAAAATGCTTTAAAGAAACGCAGTGTAACTTTCTCTTTCCCATTGGCCCTGTAATCTGTGGTGGTGCCAAGGAGAAACACTGTATTCGGCAAAAGGTAGTAACTGTCAATGACTGAATGCTCAGTTTGGGAAGCTGATGAATGCCATCTGCTCTCTGAGATTTCCTAGGAAATGGGAGAATCTCAAGACTTCATAAAATTACCTTCTCTTCTCCCTTCTCTCCAAGTCTTTACTTGTTTGATTGATCCACAGCCCCTGAAAAGTCACTAGGAAACTCGTTCATGACTTTTGGTCATGACCACAGAGCCAGTGTTGTTCCTGCTGTGGTTTTGTTATGCACTTCTTGAAGGACCATTTGTAGGTTGTTCTGACTCCTACAGCATGGGTTGCTTTTTATGTCATTTATAGCAACAAGGAACAAAAATACATTAATAATCTTTAATTTCTATTCAATGCCAGTTTCTTCTCTTTATATGTAAGAGAGTAATTAGTTTAATTTACTTTACCTTAAAAACAGTAATATATTCTGTGGCATATTCAGCAATTATTAAAATGATCACCATGGAAACCAAGGATGTAAGTGGAGAGATAAAAAAACGATTGCATTACAAACATAGCATGGGGAATTGGACTGGGAGGCAACTAAATACTAATTACCATACTCCTCATTATCATGAAGTCAACAAGGAGACATTAAAGTAAATAATTTACCTTTGTGATTTAGAAAGGTAAACTTGGTGGAGGGATTAATTTCTCCTTGACTTACCAAATTGTTGCAAAGTTAGTATTTTGGGCATTTTTGAAGGTAGACTATGATTCAGGACACAAAGGATTCAAAGTCAGATCTCCAGCCCTCTGGGGTATGTTCTAGTTCATGGAGAAGTATGAATTAATAGACTTCTCATTAGTCAGGGAAATCCCAAATTCATTCTTTACTTGATAGCAGTTAAAAGGTGCTTAAAAAAAGATTAATATCTCCCAATCCATTTCTAGATTTCCTACAGATTTTTTTCCAAGTATAAGGACTTTAGAACTGAATGCAAATGAAAAATCTGGTGCACTCAAGTGATGCTAAATGCATGCAGAATCATACATGGAGTGTTTAACCTACTTGATTTTTAAACAAAACAACAGATTGTGAACATGCAGTCAGTTGCATCTGCCTGGTTACCACAAATCCATCTATGAGAAGTACTAATACCAGTGTCCAGTTTTCTCCATCTACAGTGGATCTCAAAAGTATAAGTAGAAGCACAACTACAGAACCCTTGTTGCTAAAACAGACTGTCTCTGAACATATCTCTTCAAGCAAAAACATGTCTTCCCATGTGGATATTTTCTGGTTCTATTACTTCTCCATGTAAATGGAAAAATATATGTTAAAACGATATGTACAACTGAACCTGTTAAATACAAACCCCTTCTTTTAACAGGATAAAAACCTGGGAAAGAAGCTGTCATCAGATACAGATGAAGACATCAAAAAGGATGAAGAAGACTATTACCAAACTCCCAGCAGTATTTTAGCAAAGGTAGGTTGTGAGTTCTGCTGGGTTGTTAACAGCTCCAAGGCAACAGAAGACATGTAATGAGCCAAAGAGGAACTGGTATAAGGAACCACTAGTACCTTGCAAAAGAAATATGTAGATAAAGCAGTAGGTAATAGAGCTTTCATTTGTACAAGAAAAAATACACTAGACTCATTCAAAGGATCTTTCTGGTAGTAAGTGGCATTTTGACAAAAACATTGCTGATTTTGTTGAAATTCCCCAAATTGACTGTTTCATTGTAAATGGCTTTTGCCTATTGTATCACAGGAGTTTTTTTCAAATGTGAAAACTTCATTTAGAAAATGTAGCCATATGTTATTTTTATATATTTTAAAATGCAGTTCTGTAGAAGCATCAAAGCAGTACTTTAAAAACACTGTGAAACATTTTGGCATCGACATTTCACTGTGAAACAAGGAAGCAGGAGGAATCATAACTGGTAATTTTAAATAAATTTTGGCACCTAATTTGGGAGGCTAATTTCTCTAGGCTTCCATGTAGTCAGGAGAAGCTAAGTAGTCAGTCTTCTGCAGAAGTCACAGCCTCTCTCCGAAGACTGTATAGTTGAAGGACATTAACAATATGATTTTGTCAATCTTAGTGCTTTAAGTTAAGCACACACAAAGTACAAGACTCTTTTTTCAACCTGCTTAAATTAAAAGGTAACAAAATTTTTGTGGTAGTAGTTTAGAATATAGCTGGTTATGTCCCAGCCTGAAAAGAAAGCAAATGGTAGAGTCAATAGTACCAGATAACATTAACTTCTAAGTTTCAATTACCTTTCTCATGGTTGCTGGGAAGTGACATATTTGGGGAAAGGCAAGCTATATTAGCCAATATGTTTAAACAGCATAAACACTGAACAAAGTAAGGAATTTAAGACGACCTTTTCAGTAGGCAGAACAAGGACATTTACGTCTTATGTTGTTACGTCTTTCCAGCAGTGCACTGCTGAAGTATCAGCGCCCAACCTTACAGCTGAGTCTGATGTCCCTGTGCAAGAGAAGCCAGTACAGAAGAATCTGGTAAAGGAGAACATTTATATGTCAATGAAATCACTGTAAGTAACAACTTAATTAAGGTTTTGCAAATTAGAAGTGGCATAGTGGTAAAGATAGAACTGTGCTTTGTGGTTTTTACCTAACAATATCTAGAGACTGCATCTTGTTTGAATGGGTCCTTCTTTGGTCTTGGTTCAGAAAGTTCAGAACTTGTGGGAATACCAGAGTGAAATTCAAACTTATCAACATGCAATTTAAACTCACATTGCAAACTCATGCATTTAGACAGGCTCTGACTATAGGATGCAGCACTTTTTGTTGCCTCACACTTTTTCTAAGTTTTCATTACATAATAGCCCACCACTTTACTCAAATTCCACAGCCAAGATCCAGCAACCTTTCAGGCAGGTACTCTCCAAAGCATGTAGCCGTATCGAGTGGTTAAAAGAGAAAGGTGGACATGAGGCACTAGCAGCCAGCTTTTCCAGAAAGAAGTTATGTGATCCTGCGTAGGCCATCTCCTTCCTTCCATTTTCCCATCCAAAGAATGGGTTTCATGCTGTGTATTTTGAAGATACAGTATTTGGCATGTCACAAAGAAAGACCTGGACTTTGTGTCACAGTTGTAGTGACACAAGGAAACTTTACAATCTCGACATCATAGCACAGTATACTGAAGTGTGTCTACACAGTAAAACCTTACCTCCTGAGCCAGAGGACGGGTCATTAGCTGTTAGCTATGGCCTGCCACCTACAGACAGTCAAGTCTTAATGCCACACAGTGGGAGGCAATTGGAAATGCAGACTCACAAAACAGTTTATTCCAATAGACTTACTCGACCTCATTGGTGTCTTTGAGAACCCCTGGAGGGAATTGCTATAGAAACCTCACAAGCCTATGCCATCTGAGTTAAAATATGCCAAGAGCAGCTTTTGCTACTTAACCCAGTCTTGTTTAGGGCATGGAGGGGAGTTGGCTCCAGGCATCATAAGACTCATCAAATAAACCTAAAAAGTGTTCACGCACATCTAAGTTATTGTATCTCCCAGGTGACAGCATTACATCCCTGCAGAAGCCAGTGCAGCCAAGGCCAACTATCTCTATTCAGTTTCTATGTCAAAGCATGTTGTTAGCTGGAATGTTTTCAGGCTTAATAAGTAGTCTTTAAATACTGAAAATGTTTACTTTGAGATTTATGGTCCATTTTTAGAAGGAGTTTATTTTACTTAGCTGTAATTTTGTCCACTGGATATTCTACAAGAATTTGTTATTCTTTACTGCACTGATGGCTATTTGATCCAGCTTTTAACACAGCAAGATTATGTGGAATGGACAAACCAGTTCATTTGTTTATCACCATTCCTCTTCAGTAGGTTGCAGGATGAGAGTTCCCAGCTCACGTGCAGAAATGATGAGCTCCTGTCTCCGCCCAAACACCAAGACAACGGTGCATGTCCAGGAGACTTGGAAGCAAACAGAGACCTAAACCTCCCAGAAAGTAGCACCAGTCAGCATCCAGCACTTCAGAGAAGGCAAAATTCATTATCACTTTCGGTGGTTCAGTTGTCTATACTGCTCAGGTAAGTGCCTTGTCCATTTTCACTGCAGAGAAGACAGACATGTCTTCTCTGTGGATTTCCGCAGAGGTATTGGTAGAGCATGCCTGGTTGCTAATGTTTCCTCTCACAGTCAAGTTACAGATGAGACCCAGCTGGAGAAGTTGGATATTTTCATCCCCCTAGCTGATATTTACAGTTACCTAAAACTTACCGAAGCAGCAGGACAAATATGGTGAGTTCTGGATGTCTTGTGATGGTGTCTGTCAGACGTCAGAAAGACAATCAGTGTGGGTACAGAAGTGTACAGCCAAATCCATCCACGTACCTTTCTGGCAGTTCAAGAAGGAAAAATACCATTGTGAAAGAGACTGGAAATGGGACCCCCATCTCAATAATTGGATCTACATCTAGATTTACAGAGCTTTCTCAGTGGAAATTCATATTGAAATAGTTTGGAATAGAGCACTAGGTCTGACTGTCAGGTCAGCTAGTTCTAAATAGCTTATCATGAAGGACAGTCTATCAGAGACCAGCAGGAAAGAGATACTGGAATTTCCATAAGGGTCCCATCAGGACAGCACTAGATCTCTGATCCTCACAGTTATATCATAGACAAAACACATTATAATAAGTTTCAATTCCATTCTTTTGGGATGACTTTGTAAAGCATAGACCTAAAACATATGCAGTGGCGTGTACAGGTACCTGCTGCTAGTGTGGCCAACTGCTGTTGAACTGAAATCCCCCACTCTCACGGGTGACCTTGCTAGCACCAGTCTCACTTGTTGACAGGCTGCAATGTCAGTGTCATTTGCCCTTTTAGGAGGACCCATTGGGATGGAGGAAGCAGCGTGGTTTCTGCTGGAACCAGATCAAAAAGTTGCAAAAAGTCTTTCAACCTGTGTGTTATTTTCAGAGGGCAGTACCATAAATGCAATCCTGTTCAGGCATTGCCATGGTGTTAGCAGTAACTGGATATGCCTTTTTCCTTTATTTTCTGTCCCCCAAATACCCTAGTGTCTCACACTGGAGTGGTCCTTGCCGTCTGGGATGTTTGTTCAATCATGGAGACCATATAGTGGCTGTGAATGATCTGCAACCCCAGGATGTGGAGGAGGCTTACTTCTTCATCAGCAGGTCCACAAGAAAGGAGGTGAGCTTGGTTAACCTGAAGGTGACAGTCAAGTGAATCAAGTCAAATGGGAAAACAAACAAGTTGCTTTTTGCATTTCAAGTGGCTTCATTCAAACCAGTTTATTCTGTTTTGAGTTTGGCATTAATAACTTCAAAACTACCAAATAGCTCCTCGATACCACTCTAATGTAGCATCTCTTATTCCTGGGTTCTGGGGAATGCAAGGTCAGCACAGCCATGTCTGAGGACCTGATCTCAAAGAGTCTGAGCAACCCCAAGAGATACTGCTGGGCAACCATAAATTAGAGTTACTTGGTACTTTTTGCTAAGGTCCATGAATTGCAAACTTTGGGAAATACACCATTTCCTCCAGAGGATGTGTAGTTGCTTATAGTGGTTTTAGGTGTTGAGGGCAGAGCCCTAGACACCTACCTCCTATTGGTTGTCAAGCACTACACATCTCCTTGTGTGACACCTCTTTTTTTGAAGAATGTGTGAGATTTCTAAGTGGTTCCTTAGCACCACTGTGACCCGCTATATGTTGATACCTATGTTTCTCTCAGATGGACTCATATTTCAGTATCCAGGTTCTCTGACTCATACCTGAACTCATTCACATTTGAAATTTTCTGAGAAAGTTAAGGTCATCAGATGCTGTTGTCATCTAAAGAAAAGGAAGCCAGTCTCATTTAAAAAAAAATATTCATCTCTCTTGACAGCGTTATTTTTACTTAGCTAGTCAGATACAAGTCAGATACTAGCACAACTGTTGGGTCAGATATAACAAGCTATAAAAGTTTCTCCTATTTTTTTTTCTTTTTTAAGGTGAAGCTTACTGTATGTAGGATTCCACATTCAGATATTTTCCATGTTAAAGGCTGCTCATGTTCCTGAAAAAAAACCTCAGTGATTAAGTAAGTGTCAAAGTTCAAGTGAAAAGATCAGGGAGAAGAATGTGATAGATACATAGTGTATGGAGGTAATCTTTATCTTCAAGAGCTGCCAGATGTCTTTTGTTGCTGAAGTACAAAGAACACAGAAGGTGGATTTCATTTTCATTTTATGTCCTAATAATTTTGTTGACATGAATGGCATGTGTTTGGCTTGTATTTCATATTGGCACGTATTACACTTACATGAAAAAACCTGTGGGTCAAATCATTTATGAAACCTTCACACTCTGTATACTTTGTACTTTAGTGGAAAGTACTGGTTCACACCTCTGCTCACCTCTTTACACTGAGTTACATTGATTTGTACTGAACTCCTAATCAGTTCGGGGTGTGGAAACAACCTGCTTTTGGAACAAAGCCATGTTTTCCCTTGATCCCCTTAGCTACAGAAAGGCAAAGGCAAGCTGAGAGCTGTAGTGTGGGAAGGAAGGCTGGCAAATAAAGTGTTGTGTAGTGATTCAGTGGGACCTCTCTTCATGTTATGCCCCTCTTCTGTTACAGCCACAAAAATACATTCAAGGGATGACAGGAAAAAGAGCTGTTTGGAGAAAAGGAATGTCTGGGGCACCTCTGTGTTCATTGGCAGCCCTAAGTGAAGAATGAATGAGTGGATTAGGGAGAGAGGAGGGCTGGCCTGCTCTGTGAAGGTGTTACTGGCTAAGACAGCTGGGAAAACCAGAGAGAGAAATTATGTGTACGAAGGCATGTGCACCCAGCCCAGTGCAGACAGAGTTCACTGAACGTGTTTTGATGCTACCAAGCGCTGCCATAGGGATGTCACTGGTACCACAGCTTTTTCAGAGCAAGCACTCTTTTTTTCGCCAAACAAGGACTTTTCCTGTAAATATTTATTTGTGAATGTGTCTTGCTTCCAGTGCTATCACAGAACCATGACTGATTTTCAGCTAGTATCACACCAAAGGTGGTGGTGCTTGTTATGGAGCTGCCGTCAGCAGTGCCTGTAGTGGATGCCCTGTACCACAGTGACCTCTGTTGCTTACAGAAATACGGTGTGATGTGACATGTGTGCAGAACACAACCCTATGCTCTAAATGGAGATGTACACAATTGTGTATATGTATTTTTATTTGCAGGTGTATTTATATACATATATTTTGCTGTAAGATAGATTGTATTAATATGCAGTGATGTGTGATGTGGCAACAAACCGAATCACTGTTTTTGAGTAAAGATCATTTTATCTTGCCAGATACAACCAAAATAACTACTGGATTTAGCACACGTAGGATTACTGACATTAAGAGATTTATATAAGCTTTGATTAAGGTGGATATGCTCCAAATGAGGTATTTGTCCAGCTTCCAGATAAATTAGGCCCAGTCAGCTACTACAGTAAGAAACTACACTCACTAAAATCAGTGTTGGTGACACTTACTCCAGTAGTAAATTTTACAAATGTGCTTTGTATGCTTCCTTTAAAATCCAGTCTGGAGTTTTTTAAAAATCATTGTAAAGTTTTATTTAGCCAAAGATGAAAACAGCAACAGGAACTCAAAACAAACAAACACATCTATACAATCTGGTCAGGCTCAGCTCCTGTTCAAAAGATTAATTTCCAGACCGAATGTTTCCACAAGCTGTCTCTTCTGCTTTTGAGATAAGAGTGTTTGGGACATGCTTATTTCTCAAGGTGGGAAAGGATCACTTTTTGATGTTTCTGTTTCAGTGGTGTTCAAAGACCTGTTTGTGCTGAATTTTGCATAAAGACAGAGGGAAGCCCCAGTTCTGGAACTACAGAGGCTGAAAATGGAAGAAAAGACATTCCTTGGGAGCCCTTCTCCAAAGCTGCTATGGGACTCCTTTGCGCTGCCCTGCCTCTTTGAGCACAACAAATCCATTTCTTCCTAAGGAGTCTCTGAGGTGACAGGATGGAAATCTATCACCTGACAGGGCTTCTTCCAGCTCTGTACCTGTGACGGTCTGCTAGGACATCTTCTAGGCCTGAATCCTAAAATCACAGATCATCTAGTTCAAGAGTATCTATCCACTCAGGATGTCACCCTCGACCCTTCCTGCCCAAGGTTTGCCTGAGCTCTTCTGAACTTTAGAAAAGGAAAGCCCAAACCTTCCTGTGTTGTTCCACGACTCATGTCTCTGTATAATTAGGAATTTTTTTCTTATATTTATCCTAGATGATTTTTTCAGAAAATGAACCTGATTTTTTTCTTGCCTTGTTTTCAATGGGTATTGGGAATGATTGATTCCCACTGTCTCCAGAGAAAACTTCATTCTGGAAGGTGTTTTTTCTGTCTGTTCTCCCTTCTCTCTCTCTCTCTTTTTTTTTTTTTTTTTTTTTTAGACCAAACACTGCACATTCTTTCAACATTTTTTCAAACATTTCCTGAAAGTGGTCATATGTCACTGAACTGCAAGACACATACCTCATGTTGCCAGTTACAGGTGAACAAAGGAGGTGAGACAGCTGTGAAGCAATTTCCTGGGACTTGATAAAAAAATATTTCCAGAAAGGGCTGAACTAGTGAAGAAGCTATGAACCATACGTGGTGGTGGGAGGAGAGCCACCGCCATAGAACCTGCATGTGGCATTGCTGCTGGAGCAGATGTGGAGCAATGCATGCTGCACCTCTCAGCCATGGAAGAATGTTACTTGTGGACAAAAATAGGATTTGGGTAGATATAGCACACACAGGATAATTCCAGAATATTTAAGAAAGCTGAAGGATTACTTCTGTACTTCAATAAACAGTTACTGATGTGTTACCCTATAATTGATCATTATGTCAGTTTGCACAATGATAAATGCAGATAATTAATGTCACATATTGGCTGATTCATTACACTCACAAAGATGCAATATGGAAATGACATTGGTACAGTAAATTCTGGCAGGGTATGTGAAGTTGTCTGCCCACATACAACTAATAAATGTACTAACACTTTACAACACGTTATATTCTGTGAATACCTCACTTTCTGCTGACACAGCCTCTTCTTGTCCTCCAGAGACTACCTGTAACTTCCCAGTAACCTGCAGCTGAGTCACCAAACAGCCCTTTTAAAAAAAGCCACCCATAAAAACCAAAATCAACCTCGTTCTGTGATTTTTCCCAATGTGAAGATGTTACCTTTCTTCAAATGAGACAATTCTGATGAATCTCTGGACTGCTTCTAAGAGTAACAGCAAAGGGCAATGCCTATGTGCACGGTGTTACCCAATGCTCACTGTTCATCCAGACCTGAAGGGAATGTCTTTAAACTCATGCTGTCTGAGGGGTAACTGGTTAATTTTTTAGATCACCTGCAGACATTTTAAATGTATTGTATAAGCACACACTGTTAAAGAAATAGGTGATATTCTAGCTTCTTGCTGCAGCATACTCTGTGGTGTCACAATCTTTCCTTAGCCATTCTCCAGCTAAGTTTTGGGCTACAGAGGGTTTCTGACACAGACGTTTAAGTTGATATGAGCTGAAATTCAGTAAATCCACAAACTGGCATGTTTGCATAAAACAAAGCTGGAAGAAGGCTGCAGATCCTGAAACCTTCTTCCACTACATGATCCCATGAAGTAACCTGCTTTGAAGCAGGGGGCATCACTGGCTGCAACACACCTCTTTGAATCACTCAGCATCCGCAAACGGGGTGTACCAGAGACAAAGCAGCCGACTGCAACACAGATTAGGTGATTAGCTAACAATTAACATACTCCTCACTAACTGTTTAATTTCCCGTCATTGAATACAGCCAGTGCTTCCAGGTTGTTTCCCTGGCTGTTAATTCACAGCACATTCCTGTGCTGCACTCACTCAGCAGCTGCTAATTTCCCCCTCTGAATTCCTGAACGTTATTCATCCTCTTCCTACCGCTCTAGTACCATTCTCCAGCAGGAAAAAGGCAACTTTCTAGGAGAAAAGCAAGTTCCAGAACACAGAGAAAGTAATGGTAAGAGAAGCCTCCAAATTGGTGTGAGGTCATTGAAGTTACGAAAAATAAAAAGCCCATTGTACAGCAAGCACTAACCAGACCTCACAGCCCCTACACTTCCTCTTGAGGGCAACACTGCCGAGAACTGGAGTTGGAGTCATGTATTGATCAGACGGAGCACGAGTCCTGCAGGAGAAGGGGTCCAGCCAGGAGAGGTTGTCTGTGCTGTCTGTGTCCGTCCCGAACTGAGCCAGAGAGAAGCTCTGTGTAGTGCAGCATCTGGCTGCAATATTTAGAGTCCCTCCAACCTGGGGTACCCAGCCAGACATGCTGCAGTGTGGCTGGACTTTAGCAAATGGACTCAACAGAGGAGTGGCTACAGCACAGGAGAGCGATGTCGCCTTGCACATTGGGGAGAGAGCAGATCAGTGGTGAGCTGGGGACACCAGGTGCTCGATCTGTGTTTTACCCCAAACCTCCCAGTGACCTCAGGAGAGCCATTGCCTTGCGCAAACTCAGTAAAATTCCAGAAGTGATTTCAGACATATTTGCATTGTGCTGTCTCTTAACAATGAATGTGATCTCCAGCACCACATTCAACACTATGAATTGCTTTCCCTCCCAGAACATCTGCTGGAAACACCTCCATCAGGCCTGTACACTACAGGCATGGGGGCTGGTTCATCAGAGATGCTGATGTGCCCAGTTGGTGCTAAGCAAAGCCATCCTGAGTGCCCCGCAGAAACCTGGCTTACCCCCAGCCGCCCATCAGGAGTGAACACGAGGTGATGCTCCGCTTCCACGCAGGGAACAGGTTCACCCAGGTTGTGTGCTGCTTACTGAGAGCTGCACCGAGCAGGGTCTGTGGAAATCCCCTCAGTCAAATGGATTTGTGCAGTACCTCAGGCCACATCAGGGGACACACTAATATTTACCAGGGCACCTCCTTTGTCATGCAGGGGCTTGACCGGGAGTCCTCAGCAGAAAGCCTTAACCCCGGCACCAACTACCTTCAGGTTTGGGGAGCTGACTATG